AGGATAAGTATTTTCAAGACCTCAGGATAGAAAGATATTACTTAAATAAGACACAAAACACAAAGGAAATTGATTTATTTGACTGCATCAAAACTAAAAGCTTTTGTATGACCAACCAAACAACCAACCAAACAAAAACCCTACAAAGTTAAAATATACACCACAGGTTGAGAGAAAATATTTGTAATGTATTTTACAGATAAAGATTTAGTTTCCAGAATATATATAAAGAAATTTTACAAAGCAAAAAAATGGATATTGAGAGGCAAGTCAATGTATGAGAAAACCCAAATAGCTAAGATGTTCAACCTCACCAGTCCTCAGATAAATGCAAATTAAAGTAACCATCACACACCTTTCACTTCTCAGATGGGCAAGAATAAAAAAGTCGACACTATCAAATGTTTGTGAGGGTGTGAAGCAACGGAGTCTCTTGGACACAGAAAATAAGGAAAAGCTACCGGAACCACCCCTTTGGGAAGCAATTGGTATTCCTGTCAAGGTGAAGTTGTGTGTATCCTACTTAATGATCTAGTGATTCTGTCTGTCTTAGTCCTCTAGGCTGCCATAACAGAAACACCACAAGCGGATGCTTTAATGGACAAATGTATTCTCTTAACACTTCAGGAGGCTTGAGGTCCAAATTCAGAGTGCCAGCTCTAGGGAAAGACTTTCTCCCTCTGTGTGTCTCTTGTTCCTAAAAGGATCCCAGCATAGGGACCCTGGGTCCAAAGGACACGGCCTGCTCCTGGCCCCTCTTTCTTGGTGGTGGTACGTACATCCTCACTCTCTGCTCGCTTCTCTCTCCTTCTCTCTTGTAAGATAAAAGGTGCTGCAGGCCACACCCCAGGGAAGTTCCCCTTACATCATGGCTGTGATGGGACTAAGGGTGTTGCACCAAGCCTTAATCTTCTTACACCTGATTGGTTTATCACATCAGATCACATCCTGACGTATCATTATTCATCTGCCATGTTACATCATTACATAACTTCTAAACCTCTGAGAACCATGGCCTAGCCACGTTGACACAAATTTTGGGTGGACACAGTTCAATCCATGACACTATCCCTAGATACACTCCAAGGAGAAGCTGTCCTGCATATGCCCAAATCAGTGGCATGTTCAAGAATGGTCACAACAGGTGAAACA